CCCGCCAGACGGCCCTGACCTAGTGTTTTGGCAATAGTATGGCGGGCAATAGTATGATGTCACTATTTCAACCATCAACAAATGCATGGAACTAAGACAAATCTTAGTATAAAGGAAAAAGTTGAGAAGTGTCGGAATTACCCACGATGTTGGTATATACCGCATTTACCAATTTGATATTTTGACATGCATGAAGCAACATGAGATTAATATAGATTCTAGTCTAGGTACCCGGGTAGGTTGGTTTATGCATGAGCAAAGCCACTGGCCAAGTGCACAGGAAATATAAATATCAATAATTTTTTAATATGCAGATGAACAATGCAAGGGGCAACCACAAGATGAAGAAGCACAGTAACTGCTCTTGCATTTACATTTCTAAATAGACCTATTATCTATATAGCCAAGCATGGAAAACATCTACCTTTAGGGCCACGACTAGAGGTTTCCCACCATTTCTGGAACCACAAGATTTCCACCAGATGAATTACCTCCTAGCTAAATGTTAACAAAAATGCACAACTGGGCCACAAGATTCCAATTGTATTAAAAATTTGTCACGTTGGAGCCATGAGATTTCAGAAACAACTAGGAAAATTCCAATCCTGTATATAGCTATATGCTATTGCTATGCAATTCAGTTGTATTATATCTATGGATTATTTATCAGTTAAACACTGGACTTCAAGTCCATTTGATGCTGATCATTTATCAACATTCAACTACCTAGACTAGAGATTAGAAAAAATTTTCAGAAAAAGTAAGGAGAGTAGATCCTCTGCATTCAACCTTTTACCTTATCTTATGATACATTTCTATGCAATTTGTATGCTTTTTAGTGTGAATGTTGATTATTTATTCTGAATACATTTCTATTTGTTGCAGATATTGTAGTAATCCATTTTTTAGCTAAAATTTTTGTGATATCTGGAAGGCTAGGAAGTTTTGCATTTATTTTTGTTTTGGATCATTTATTTAGTTGAAGAAAAAATAATTTATGTCACTCTAATTATTAATGACCGTTTTGAAATTTTAGGTCTGACTGGTGTTCTGGTTGCACTCAATTCCAAGTCCATCCTGAATGGAATACTCAATCACATTAGACAGAATTTTCCAAAAAATAGATTAGCTTTAGGCATAGGCCACATAGCCTTGTTAATCATAGGTACTACTGCCTAACTGCCCTAAGAATGGGCCGAATGACCCAGATGGGTGATATTGGCTTCAAGCTAGATTATAGAATTTTTCTCCTTATTACTGATATATTGGGACTCCAAAATGACAAGTTTTCAATACATTTGGAGTGTGACACAATTGTTCACTTTTATTAACAATTAGTTAGGAGGTAATTCTTCTAGCAGGAATATCAATTAACAATACAAGATACTGATATCTGGTTAATTAATTTTTAATTCCTCTTCAGTAAGTTTTTGTTATTAGTTCAGTCATTGTGCTTCCTATTTCCTATAATTGTAATGTAATCTTGCCTAATTTTTTCCATGATACAGAACAATGTTGGAGGGTAATAAATTCATAATAAAAAACCTTGAAAATGATTGCCCTTATGTTGAAGGCCTCTGTCACAGAGGCCTTCACAGAGGCTCTGTGAATAGGGTGTTAAAGGGGGCGTCTTGCCTAAAATTTATCTCAGTAATTTACAGAGGGATCAATCTGAAATTTGGTACACATGTGTAAACCCTAAAATAAAACAGGTTTTATTCGTGTAAATTTTTCAAAAAAAAATTGAAAGAAAACATGAAATTCTTAGAAAATGACCAAAAAGGGGTACTTTAGAAAACCTATCTCCTCCTAGGATTTTCAAGCTACATCATCGAGACACATATCATTCGATGCGTAAAGACCACATCTACAAAATTGTGTATAGGTTTTTTTTAAATTTCTCGTTTTTGTGGGTGTGGGAGCATTTTTTGTAAAATTTTTGGAAATTTTTCGATTTTACCCCCCGCCTCCCTCCTTTTTGCAGAATAAAATCTAAACTATAACAAAATTAGAAAAACGCATACACACTTTTGTAGATCTTTTTTTTCCAAATCGAATGGGGTTTGTCTCATTGATGTAGCTTCAAAACTCTAGGAGGAGATAGGTTTGCAGTGACAATAAGTTAACTTTTCAGTAGGGCCCGACAAAGTTGCGCGCGCCTTGGAAAAATCATTCAAGGGTGCAAGGTTGCAAGACTACAAGATATTGGAGCTCAATTTCTGTCAAGGATGGTGCGAATGACGGCACAAGAGCCATCCCATATGACTGCAGGCGGATAACTGAAGCACAACGTGTTCAGACTAGCTATTTAAGTGTGCTACCGGTAATTTAGGCCTATATTAAATGTTAAGGAACTCCACCACCCCTAACCCTTTCGTGATCTGTCGTGAACGCATAAATCAACATACAGAGATGGTTTTGGTACCATTAGATGCGGCAGAATGTAAGCTTTAAAATGAGTATAAAAACCGAAAAAGTCAAAATTTTCAATTTTGACCGAGATGCTCCCCTTAAAGTCTGGTACTATATACAAAGTCTGCTATATTTATGGCAATGTAAGTTTTTCTTATTTCTCAATAAAACAAACAGGTGAATAAATTTTTTATTGGATGAGCTAAACGCCATGAACTACCTTAACAATTCTCAAATGTATATATTCAATATGACCACCCTTATTTTTAATGATGGTCACAAATGACTGAAATGAGATTCAAAAGATTCCAGCACATTCTGAATCTCATTGAGGATGTCATGCTGCCCAATCTGGTGTTCAGTGACAAGAAGAGATTTGACATTGAACAAAGCGTTAACTGTTAAAATTACAGAGTTTAGAGTCAGGATGGATCTGTGGCAACCAGAACAGTAACGCAACATCAAAACCTATGTCCATGATGGGTTGGGCTGTGGTAACAGCCACTGGAAGGTCTCCACTTGTTTTTGTTGCCTCTTTAGTGAAATTGAACCGCCAGCAATACATTTTGGGCATTTTAGAAGCTAAGTTGTTACCCTGGGGCCATAAACACTTCAATGGCTCACCAGTCACTATGGAGTATTCAACACAACTCAGCCACATCAAATGATTTTAACATAACCCATAACTGGATTCAGGGTCATATCTTAGCATTCATTAGCAAAAATGGATGGCCCTCAAGAAGCCCTGATTTAAATCCTATTGACTTTTCTGTGTGGGCTGGTTTAGAAAATTGGGTCTGCAGAAAGCCTAATAATTCATTCAATAATATGTCTAAATTAGAACAAGATTGGGACTTGATCAATCAAGAAATGCTGCAAGTCTCTTATGAAGATTCCAGCATTGGTTGGAGGCTGTCATTAAAAAACTATGTTTAAAAATTAGTTAAAGATGTAGTTTAGTTAAAAATTAGTTAAAGATTTTCAGATTATAAAAAATTGATTTTTCAATTTTTTTAAATATATAAAAATTGTTAAATTATTTATTCTGTCAATTGATTCATGCATTGCCTCTGATTTCACACAAGCGTGCAAAATTTCAGATCAATTGGACAGGTGAAAGTGTGTCAAATATCAATTACCGTATAAGATTTGTAGCTGACAAAAATATTTTTTAAGGGGAGCGTCTAGGTAAAACTAAAAATTCTGACTTTTTCAGTTTTTATACTCATCTTGAAGCTCACATTCTGATGCATCTAACAGTACCAAAACCATCTCTGTACGTTGATTTATGCATTCACGACAGATCGCGAAAGGGTTACAGGTGGTGGAGTTCTTTAACATTTAAGATGGGACGAAATTACCGGTAGCACACTTAAATAGCTAGTCTGTCCTTCAGTTATTCGCCTGCAGCCATATGTGATGGTTCTCATGCCATTGTTTGCACCATCCTTGACAGAAATTGAGCTCCAATATTGTCTAGTCTTGCAACCTTGCACCCTTGAATGTCTTTTTCGAGGCATGCGCGACTTTGTCAGGCACTATAGAAAAGTTAACTTATTGTCCCTGCAAACCTATCTCATAGAGTTTTGAAGTTACATCAATGAGACAGATACCATTCGATTTAGAAAAGAAAAATCTACAAACGTTTCTTGGTTGTTTTTCTAATTAAGTCATAGTTTGGATTGTATTTTGCAAAAAGTGGGGCAGGGTGGGGGTAAAATTGACAAATATCAGAAAATATGCTCCCATACCAACAAAAATGATAAATCCAAAAAACCACCAAGTGACGTTTTTAGATATGGTCTTTACACATCACATGATATGTGTGTGTATCCTAGGAGGAGATTGGATTTCTAATGTACCCCATTTATGTCCATTTTCTAAGAATTTCACGTTTTCTGTCATTTTTTTCAAAAAATTCTCACAAAAAAAAAGTCTTAGAATTCCGTTTTACATTCGTGTACCAAATTTTGAATCAATCTGTCTGTAAATAACCTAGATAAAGTTGTCCCTAGACGCTCTCCTTAAAATTTTTAATATTGTGGAAAAAATATTTTTATTCCTAAAATTATTTATTTTGTCATTTGATTCATGCATTATCTCTAACTTTACGCAAGTGTACAAAATTTCAGATAGATAGGATAAGTAGAAGTGCATTAAATTTCTATTACAAGATTTGTAGCAGACAGACAAACAGACAAACAAGAAGGGAAGTTAAAGAGAAGTGTTGTAATTAGGGTGGTCATATAGAATAAATACATTTGAGAATAGTTTAGGAGGTTCTTGGCTATTAGCTCACACAATAATAATTATTTCACCTGTTTATTTTCTTGAAAAATAAGAAAAACATGCATTGCCAATTGCCATAAATATGGCAGACCCTGTAAATACTTGCAATATTTACATGATAATGTGATGGCATTTAGCAACTGTATGTGGAAAAATTTTCTTTTAATAGTCAATTTACCAATGCTCTTGTTATGAGATTCTATTATGCAAGCACTGTAATGAATCTTGTATTGATAGTTTTACTTGAAATTCATAATAGTTTTGTACTTATTTTCTCACAAATTGCTACTGTATTTTCAGTTAAACAAAATGCAGTTCTCAGATAGATCTCAACTACAACTAACTACATTCAACTGTTTATTATTTGTTATATCTTGTGCCATTAATTGGAGATCAGTCACTGCATCAAAAGACACTTTTGATCTCAATAATAATTCTTCAGATTTCGGAAATTCAAAAGGAGCCTCTGATTTACAGGCCAGCTCTCTGCCAGGGTCATCGCAAGGTAATTGAATTTGTGTAATTGTGTTGAAATTGTGTCTTGGGTGTGTATTTCTTGCACTCCAACACTCTCACTTTCCTATCTGCAGTTCTTGATAATTATGTATTATCTTGAAATAAGGTCTCATTAGGTACTTCTTCAATGAAAATAACTTTTAATTAAAATTTGCTCAATTATTCGTACTGCCTGAGAAAAAGAATTGAGTTGAATTCAAGATGTTTCTCTCAACTTAACTTAGTTTCACCTGCCAATTTTCAGAATTACCAAATAATTTTGTATTTTCAGATGGTTCACTCCACAACGGATCACTGCTCCTCCATCACTCCACTTCATCCAGCAGTGATGGAGGCGTCAAAGTAAAATCTATGATTGAGAAGATATTTCTGTGGACTCCGTGAGTCTTGCTATTAGTTTCATTCCTAAGATCTTTGCTGAATATCAGTCTTTTCATTAAATTAACCTTGCTTACACTATACAGGATGAAATTATCGAATGAAATATTTGACAAATATAATTTATGATTATACATTAATACATGTCTACCTCAATTGTCAGGAAGAAATCTGTGGCCATAAAATTCAAAATGCAATTACAGTTAAACAATACTTGACAAAAAACATCATAAATGATTCATGAGTGAAATTTGTTAACTTAGTATTATTTCTAAGTTAAAATTCTACATTATTATTTAGAATTTTTTTCTTATTTGATACCAGATCTTATGAGTCAGGACAGAGTTATGAGCTGCTGGTGCTTGGCAACAAGAGCAACATCAGCAGCAGTCACCTGCAGGGCCATCAGCCCACCTACATCATCGTGCACGGCTTCTTGGGTGATGGACTCGAGCCGTGGATACTGGAGAGCAAGCAGAGTGTGTATTTCTAATGACACTGCTTTCATGTACTGTACTCTATGTATAAATATATATGCCTTGGTGCTAAATTAATAATGTGCTGATTATTCATACATTATGCACACTTTTTAGTGCATTTTCTCATTTATGGAAATAATGCACTATTGTGCTCGCCGTGTGCGTCTGTCTGTCTGTCTGTCCATCCGTCCGTGACCTCAAGTTTTCGTCTATGAGAAAATGAGCTCTCTGTCACTCACTGCAGTGAGTATTGAGTTATATTTTTTCTCCCATTGGCATTATTATCTTTAATCATTTGTGCCCAATCAAGTACTAGTATAGTATCACTGATAAAAAAGTTGATACTATGTCTGTAAATATGAAAGCATGCAATGCAAATTCTTATCTTACTTACTGTTTTAAGTATTTATGAAAGTTGTATCTGTTGTATATATAAGTTTTGTCTTCACCAGATGAAATTTTGATTTTTTCAAAAGCTCTTCCCATAGAATAAGATAGTAACTTATTGTCTGCTCTAGATCATCAAATATCTCGAGGGAATGCCATAATTATATAAGAAACTTTACACGTGATTTAAATATTCCCTGAGGGAAGTTTAATATTTTGACAAATTGAGGTTGGCATCTGCATCAAAGACCAAGAGAATAACAAATGAGCAATTTCACTAATGCATTATATAGGCCAAGTTCTTCTGATAAACTAGAAATACTTTGCTTTTAATTACTGCTGAGCTGCATATTTCTGTGGCCAACCTCTGCTACTGATCTACTTGATTGTAATGAATAGTGAATTTATTGAAAACTTGCCTCGGTTCTATTGTCTAACAATGACTTGGCTTTCACAATAACGGAACTAAGCTGTGTTTCTTTAGTGTTCATGTATCTAAGATTTAGGTAGTCAGAAATTAAAGGTTTAAATTACATCATGTTTCTTTTGATGAATGATAGCTACATCAAACCATAGGAATTTCAATGTCTGTGCTCAATTTTAGTTTTCTTATCAGTTGTCATCAAGTGTTTAAATTTGAGTAGCTAAACTTTTTCGTAGGTGTAAAGTGAAAAGTTAGATGCATATATAATAAATATCAGTTTAAAGATATCTGGCACCTTGAGAACATTTCTTTTCTAGAGTGTTTTTTTTGGGGGGGGGTGTAATCTAGTGGCTTGTTTCATAAAATGTGTTTTCCGTTCTAAATTGTGCATAATTTTTGCTTCTTAGTTACCATCGCGGAAGTTTTAAAGCATATGCAGTGGAAACAGTCTAGCGTTTTGATGAAAATAATAAAGGGCAAAGTTTATTATTGCGAAAGTTCTTAGGAAAAACTAATAAGTGTTTTTTAAAAGAGCATCAGTATAATGTGTTCATTAATGTGGCAGAGTTGCTGGAGCTGCACCGCTGTAACGTGATCTCAGTGCAGTGGCCGTCAGGGTCGGAATATTTCGTCATAGATTATTACCACGTAGTCTTCCACGTGCCTTATGTCGGCAAGGAGATCGCTGCCCTGCTTGCCCAGCTGGCTCAACTCAAGTCTCTCAAGTGAGTACAAACTCCTCCAAAAACTTTGGCTTGGACACCTGCGCTATTAAGTTAAATTAGCCTCATTATCGTGCGTTATGGCTTTGGCATGTTATTCTTATATTCCTATATCTTAAATATCCAACCAGAAATTGGTACTTCTACTATAGACTATTTTCCGAGTCATGTCTCGTTATGTTGATTTGCCATTCAATGTTAATTCTTTAGTTTTCATGTGTAGACTAGCCATTGCCATGGCCTGGCACATTTGATTGAGCTCTTTGCTCTATAAGCACTTACCGCTCTAGTGTGAGACGTCGTCAATTTTACCGTCCAGCTGGTCATTAGTACTGGTGCAGCCCAACTGGCAACTATACAGTCCAACTGGTCAATAGCAATGGAACATATTTCCCCAATAGCTCTGCCCATATACGTATAAGCTATTGACTTGGATGGCATCAGCTGCCAAGGTTTTAAAACGTGCAGCATTTGCTGGGCAGATATTCTGATGTACACATCATCGGACACTCGCTGGGCGCGCACATTGCTGGCTTTGTGGGGAAGAACGTCCCGACGCCCATTGCTCGGATATCAGGTAGGGGGTCCAGCCTGGTGGGGGTGATAGCTTGGAGCCTTCATTTGAGCACTTTCTATGTTCAATACATTGCCACATCTTTTGAAATATATTAATTTGTTATCCATCGCCATTTATAAATATACCGTATATTTATTCATCTTGTCCGCCTTGCCCTTCTTGTTTCAAGAATTATATGTTTCCTCATTCTGATTACTCATTCACTTTTCGCCACTCCGGGAGAGTTTGAGTTTCTCGAGGATACTCACCCGCCAGTCAAACCCCTGATGCCTGTTGGACAAGCTTCCTTTCACACACAGTTACAAATCTCGCAATCGCGGAGCCAGTCGCGAGAAAACATGCCTGCTCCTACAGGCGCGCCGTTGCCGCCTCAAGGCAATAAACAGGCCTGCATGCCCATGTTACCGAAACACTTGCGCTGAGCTGCGAGAAAATGTCCGAGGCCACTGCCGCGCCCGGCCGATTAGTCCGACTAGTATCAGGCATCGGCCTGATACTAGTTGCAAGCATGCGACTAGTATCAGGAATTTGCGGCCTACTTCCACATTCCATGCCAAATGGCTTTGGTCACGGCGCGAATTTTAAACTGGGCGACTGTTGAACCTCAGGCCTCTTCATTTTAAGTAAAATGCTTTCAATTTGCTTCAATTATAGTTAAACTGTTTCTATTCTATGTATCAGGTCTGGACCCAGCGGGCCTAAGTTTCCGGGGCACGGGACCATCGCAGAGGCTGGACAAGACGGACGCGCTCTATGTGGACGTCATCCACACAAACGGATGCCGCAACTATCTCGTCTGGACGGTGAGACCTCATCACTGTTGATGGTGATATGCTATCGATAGTGATGATGATGGTATAGTAATGTTATGGTGTTGCTGTGACAACAGTGTCTTAATAAATAGTGATGTTATGTTGTTGCTGTGATTACTGTGTCATTGTAATTTGTGATGTTATGGTGTCAGGAGTGATGTGATCTCCTTATGACCACGATATCATAATGAGTAATGATGATCAAGTGCTCGCTATGACCGCGGCAGCATGAAAGTATTAATAACGCTCTCATGAGCATGGCGACGTTAATGCATTTATTGCTAAGTGATCGAATTAACTTAATCGAATCGAATTAACTTAAAAAGTTAATTCGATTCACTTCCGTAATCCTTGACCATTTTGATGAGGATTCCTATTATCACGAGGGAATTATTTTAAGAATAATGCTGGATGTTGCCTACGGTAAATAAAGAATTTTCTATTGCGATCTTAACTAGTTATGTTCACTGAGATTATGTATGATCTGTCTTGAATAGTTGATCTGTCTTGAATAGTTGATCTGTCTTGAATAGTTGATCTGTCATGAAAAGAAACTGAAATAGTTAATAATATGGCAAATAATATGGCTGCAGGACTGCTTTGGCTTCGACGTAGCTCTCGGCCACACGGACTTCTGGCCCAACGGCGGCCGCCATCAGCCTGCCTGTCAGAACTGGGCCGGGCTTCCTGTAAATGGGTCAAGGCGATTAAATGAGTCAAGGCCAGTAAATGGGTCAAGGCCAGTAAATGGGTCAAGGCACTTCAATAACACCTCTGGGTCCGTCAATAACACCGACTACACACGCGTCTCTGTGGCAGGTGAGCTAGGTTTATTCCTGTATGATTGCCGTGCTTTTTGCAGCTGTTTCCTATGAATGAAACCTCAATGTCGTTCAAGTTTTATTCTGAGTATACTGAGTTTCATTCTTCATTTAAGTACTGAGTTGTCCAAATAGGTTGAAGCCAATGGGATGATGTCCCACACAACGGTTCTCGTCCCCACATTCCCTAGGCTCGTGGTCCGTGGGGTGTGACCACATGATGTCCCACACATAACAGCTCTCGTCCCCACATTCCCTAGGCTCGTGGTCCGTGGGGTGTGACCACATGATGTCCCACACCTACTTCGTGGAGAGCCTGAACTACTCGCGGTCGAGCGGCTTGTTCCTGTCGCGCCCCTGCCCGTCGTACGAAGAGTACGAGTCCGGCAACTGCTCGTGTGGGTCTGTGCCGCAGTACATGGGATACTTTGCTGATCAGCGGTGAGTGTCCAGCGAGTGACATATCCTGTCCAACTTAACCTTGATGTGGTATTGATACCGTGCATTCAATAGTGGTAGAGTTGGAAACTCTGCCAACCAATCACTGACGGCTGTTCAAACTTAACCACCAATCACACGCAAGAAATCGGCTGCCATGTACTTGTACTTGAGTGAGTCTAATGTGTACGGCCCCAGGTGTGTCTAGAAGGGAACGCAGCCGTGCACCACCAATTTTGTGCACCAATAAGCCCTGAATCGAACGCCTTGGATCTCTCCGGACCTACACCAATCAGCCGTGCACCTGTCTCTTATACACANGGCCGTTCGACCGAGGGCTGGTTCGACCCACGGCCTAGATACGGACGGCTTGAAGTGTTGAAGGCTACGTTCCGGAAGGCAGGAATCATGATGGTCCATTACTTCCAGGGCAGTGGTGGTCTTCGGCAGGCGACCCGTCTAGAAGAATATACTTATAAATGAAATTGTAACACAACTTTTTTCACCCCTGGAGCAGTGGAGAAAATTTCGATCACTTAAAGCAGTTCAGCGCCGTAAGCCGTTTGTGGGAGTCGTGTTCAACTAAATTCAAAGGTCCCATATGGCGGTGATTATCCTAGGTATTTCACCTATTATGAGGAGTCAATGGAAGTGAAGAAAGTTAAGGATATATGGAGAAACAATAATGGAAGAATAAGTAAGTGTACTAAGCAGTTTCAAGGTGCGTATAATTGCACGAGGTTTACTTGAGTCGTGAAAAGCATCTATCTGGTGATGTTATCTGACTCCGAAAAAGCTTTACAGAAACCGAAACTTCGCTTACACCTCTCAAGCTCTCGGTTGTCATGCAGCATTAATATTCCTGCCTCGCAAGATCTCATTGCACCAAACGTCACCATAATTAATTATTATTGTAAGTATGATTATAATTGGTCACAGTGATAATGATAATAAGAACGGTAATGCTTGCAGAGGGCGCGGCGACTTCTATCTCAACACGAGCGCCGTGCCGCCCTACGCGCTGCCTGACCCTGGCTGCCCCACGGGCGCTCAGGCCGACTTGTTCCTCCTGAGCCTCGTGGTGGCCCTCGTGCTGCTCGTCCTCATCACGTGCCTCGTGCTCCTCATGACCTGCCACGGCCTTAAGAGGGCAGCCATGTGCAGCTATGGTGAGGGTGTCAGGCCCTAAGAGGGCAGCCATGTGCAGCTATGGTGAGGGTGTCACAGCCTTAAGAGAGCAGCCATGTGCAGCTATGGTGAGGGTGCCAGGCCTTAAGAGGGCAGCCATGTGCAGCTATGGTGAGGGTGTCAGGGCCTTAAGACGGCAGCCATGTGCAGCTATGGTGAGGGTGCCACGGCCTTAAGACGGCAGCCATGTGCAGCTATGGTGAGGGTGCCATGGCCTTAAGAGGGCAGCCATGTGCAGCTATGGTGAGGGTGCCACGGCCTTAAGACGGCAGCCATGTGCAGCTATGGTGAGGGTGCCACGGCCTTAAGACGGCAGCCATGTGCAGCTATGGTGAGGGTGCCATGGCCTTAAGAGGGCAGCCATGTGCAGCTATGGTGAGGGTGCCACGGCCTTAAGACGGCAGCCATGTGCAGCTATGGTGAGGGTGCCACGGCCTTAAGACGGCAGCCATGTGCAGCTATGGTGAGGGTGCCATGGCCTTAAGAGGGCAGCCATGTGCAGCTATGGTGAGGGTGCCACGGCCTTAAGACGGCAGCCATGTGCAGCTATGGTGAGGGTGCCACGGCCTTAAGACGGCAGCCATGTGCAGCTATGGTGAGGGTGCCATGGCCTTAAGAGGGCAGCCATGTGCAGCTATGGTGAGGGTGCCACGGCCTTAAGACGGCAGCCATGTGCAGCTATGGTGAGGGTGCCACGGCCTTAAGACGGCAGCCATGTGCAGCTATGGTGAGGGTGCCATGGCCTTAAGAGGGCAGCCATGTGCAGCTATGGTGAGGGTGCCACGGCCTTAAGACGGCAGCCATGTGCAGCTATGGTGAGGGTGCCACGGCCTTAAGACGGCAGCCATGTGCAGCTATGGTGAGGGTGCCATGGCCTTAAGAGGGCAGCCATGTGCAGCTATGGTGAGGGTGCCACGGCCTTAAGACGGCAGCCATGTGCAGCTATGGTGAGGGTGCCACGGCCTTAAGACGGCAGCCATGTGCAGCTATGGTGAGGGTGCCATGGCCTTAAGAGGGCAGCCATGTGCAGCTATGGTGAGGGTGCCACGGCCTTAAGACGGCAGCCATGTGCAGCTATGGTGAGGGTGCCACGGCCTTAAGACGGCAGCCATGTGCAGCTATGGTGAGGGTGCCATGGCCTTAAGAGGGCAGCCATGTGCAGCTATGGTGAGGGTGCCACGGCCTTAAGACGGCAGCCATGTGCAGCTATGGTGAGGGTGCCACGGCCTTAAGACGGCAGCCATGTGCAGCTATGGTGAGGGTGCCATGGCCTTAAGAGGGCAGCCATGTGCAGCTATGGTGAGGGTGCCACGGCCTTAAGACGGCAGCCATGTGCAGCTATGGTGAGGGTGCCACGGCCTTAAGACGGCAGCCATGTGCAGCTATGGTGAGGGTGCCATGGCCTTAAGAGGGCAGCCATGTGCAGCTATGGTGAGGGTGCCACGGCCTTAAGACGGCAGCCATGTGCAGCTATGGTGAGGGTGCCACGGCCTTAAGACGGCAGCCATGTGCAGCTATGGTGAGGGTGCCATGGCCTTAAGAGGGCAGCCATGTGCAGCTATGGTGAGGGTGCCACGGCCTTAAGACGGCAGCCATGTGCAGCTATGGTGAGGGTGCCACGGCCTTAAGACGGCAGCCATGTGCAGCTATGGTGAGGGTGCCATGGCCTTAAGAGGGCAGCCNCAGGCCGCGGCCTTCTGTTGTGTTCTGCACGGGACAGCGAACACAGGCCGCGGCCTTCTGTTGTGTTCTGCACAACTGCTCAGCTGACTATGCGGGTGTCCTGCCTTCGTACAGCCCCAGCAGGCAGATCGTCCTAATTATTCACTCAATGGCCGAGATGTTGTAAGCATTTGCTTGCGACTGTGATATATGAATTACATTTCCATATTTTGGGCTAGTGTTTTCATCTTTTAGATGATCTACTACTATTCCTATTACTATTGTACTATTAGATCTACTTTAGAGAGTAGCAGTAGGTTGGGCGATGAAGAATAATGTATTTCAATCTCCCTATCACCAGATTGTATCGAAGTGATCCTGATATTTATGTTGCAGTTTCTGCTCATTCTACGTATAATTCGCCCTGTACGACGCGGCGAGCCTATCATTTATTGGAGGAATTATTCAGGAGTTGCCCCGGAATTATCTATTAGGGTTTCCAGTTGTGGATGTTATTTTTCAGATCTGTTATGCTCAATCTGATCTTACTTTAGTTAACATTAATAATAGTGTTAATTTACTAATTTATTCACAGAATGTCTTTGACTAATTTTCATTATTTTTGTCGTAAACATCAATCACGAGTAGAGATTAGTTCAACGGAAGTTGAAAGTTGACGCTTCCACCAACTCGTTGTGCCTGTAGGAGCGCCTAGTGATGTGTTTCTTCCGACGTGAGAGTCGTCATTATGATAGAGGTTAAGAAAGACATGTAAAGGTTAATGGTGAGGAATAAGTAGTCTGGTAGTTGATTAAGTTGGGTGGATGAAGCCTGTTTTTAGTCACTACAAGTAATATTTGCTTTAGTTTTGTTAAGCTTTCGTTTAGTGTATATTGTATTCGTTTAGTGTATATTACAGCTGTAGCGCTAGCAAACCTTTATACTACTACTACTTTGGTGTATATTGATAGCTGAAGCGCTAGCAAACCTTTATATTTCTACTACTACTTTGGTGTATATTGATAGCTGAAGCGCTAGCAAACCTTTATACTACTACTACTACTTTGGTTTATATTCTCTGTTGATAGCTTCACTTGTGTTCACCAGCCATGCGCGTCTGTGTTATTTCATGAATCTTTACTTAATGTTCGTGTGTTCGTAAATACTTTCAACTTGAAGCAACTGTTCTAGTGAAAGCAACTGCCTGCAGTTCCCATCAATCTCAACTGACAGATCTGTCAAGATTGCCGTCTGCGTGCTCATTAAGTATAACTAACTTTTACTTGTAGTCTGAAAATTAGTCTATTAGATAATGCATAGAGCATAGACTCCTTAGAAAGATTCCCAATCATACGTCGAGTATGAATTGATGCAGATAGTCTATGTACAAAAAATAGTTCAGGGAACATAAGGTTCCCGTGCGTGGTTACCAGCTGGTCCAGTTCTGTCATAGGCACATTTTGTTGTCTGATGAGGGGCGTTTAGGCCTTTGTTGATTCTGTTCAGATTGCAAAATGCACCTCATGAAGGTTTTAAACTTGAAATTCACTGATTAATTACTGATAATGTTTGGCATTTTTATCGACGTATGTTGTACGTGTGGTTGGTCATTACTAAATTTCATGTCGTAATGATCATCGCTAGTTTGTCAGGACGTCGGCAAGGAAATGTGCTGCGCTCCACAGGAATTGGCAATCTCAGTGGACTTCACGCGCTCTTTAATTTAAGTTTATTGGAATTTTTATCATAATTAAAGCTCAGCGGCTTGAGGGATGCTTAAAACCGAGCGAAATCTACTCTACTAACGTGTAAATGTCTCGCGAAATATGAGCTGGCTATGAGACGGTGTAAGATATAAACTATTGTTATATCATATTATTATAACAGTTAGGATTTATGGTGGATTGAATCAGGCTGAGACTTTGTAACGCAACTGTGTGCACCGCTGTATGCAAGATTTCAACTCGCTTGGTAACGAAACCTTTACATGCTCATAATTTCTTTGATCTAATCTTAGCAAGGTGCATAGTACCGGTAGTATTGCTGTTATACCATGCCGTGTTGTGCAGTTCTCATTTACACAAGACTATGTTCATGGTTCTTAAGTTACCATTACGTCCTCAATCTCTCATTTGAAGTAAGACTTTCTTTCAAATGTCGAGAGGGATGTCAAAGGCACGAATATTGCTTACAATTTTCCTATTTGTGATGACAAAATGGATCTTCCTTGTTGTTGTACTTAACTTTAGCTAATTTATTCACCTATAATTGCGCTAGGAATATTGGCCTCGTGAAATGTCCGCTGTGAATGCGGAGGAGCCGCCCAAATGTGCTATAATGTTACGTGTTTTAGGTTCGTCATCATCACACATGGCATCATCACACATGGCATCATCACACTTGGCATCGTCACACATGGCATCATCACACATGACATCATCACACATGGCATCATCACACATGGCATCATCACACACTTTTGCTTCATACATACAGCATCCTTCAGCCACATATGCGTCGTACATGCAAGCAGTTTGCGAATACTTCAGAAATGCTAGGTATCACTATCTTCACGCATTTCTTAGGAAGCCTTGATTTGACTGAAAAGTCGAATTAAGAGTACTTGAAGCTTTATCGAATCTTGATCCGCGTTCTCATTAGCACTTCAGCTACATTATTAGTTAGACTTCATGTCAGGCGTCCTCTATCAGTTTACGTCGCACTCCGAAAATTGAATGAGTCAATCTGTCATAATAGTATGATAAGATTTTTGCCATAATGCCAGAATAATATAATATATTTTTTGTCATAATATTTTAGTTGTTAAACTCCAGATACTTACTGTATCGTGACCGTATTTATTGCTTGGTAATTTTTCATAGACGTTCTTGAATGTTGTTAGTTAGTCTGCACTAATTCTAAGCATCAGTCAACCTAGGTAGCAGAGATTATTATTGATATTGTAAATCTATTTTCATAATAAGAGGTGTCTATTGCCAGTGACCGTGTTATGCCTAACCCCTCCCCCAAATCCAAGTTTCGCACCGTTTGAACAACTAGCAACTCGTGGTGGCCAAATACGCAACGCGTCATTCCCCAGGGGCAGCGTAACCTCAGTTGTGTGCTTATGGTGGTAGTCGTGGGTAGAATCATCGGCGTATCATCGCCGGCCGTTGCGTGGACATCGATGCCGCGCCTCTGAATATTAAAAGGCCGTTTCGTTGAGCATCCGCACGTTCAGACGAAAAACTCTCCGTCCAATTCTCTTGTGAAGTTGTATTTGTAGGGTAATTGTTAGATGAAAACCTACGGTTCCCGTAATTTACAATTCTTTAAAACCGTGTGCTCCTGAAAATGTGTGTTTCAGAATAAAAGATTGTGTAATTTCGTTGAAAAAATTCTAGTAATCGCCTGAAAGTTCTGTTTAATTAATAACCGAGTTTGCATTTGAGTCTTGTAGCTATGGCGGGACGAGACTTGCGGAGAAGCTGCTTACAGAAACTCGTGGGCGGTTATCGGTGTCCACTCAACGGCTGGCATGCGGCCACATTTTAAATGTAATGAGCTATATTATGATTCTATGAGCTGAGGTTCCCTGAAGGGGCTGACGACCCCTGGGCACCCTAGTCATTATCTACTGAGGTTACCTGAAGGGGCTGACGACCCCTGGGCACCCTAGTCATTATCTACTGAGGTTACCTGAAGGGGCTGACGACCCCTGGGCACCCGAGTGAGGCGGCGATGGGTGCGTTGTGCAGGCTTTGAATGCCTTCAAGTTTACGTTTCTCTGAATTACGTAACAAAGTCAGCGAAAAGATCATGCTAACTTTTTTCACAAGAAAAATTATAAATATGCACGGTTGGTATACCACATAAATACAGCATTTTATTTCTGGAAAAAATAGCTGAAACTGGGTTAACCCGTTGTTAACTGGTTAATAACGTAGCAGTCGCTGCGTATTGTGAAGGAACGGAATTGCCAACTACTTTTATTACTTCAGGAGGAATGATAAACGCCTGTATTTCTCTCACAGATACATACGATTATACGACAGTATCCCACTCTGTGAATAATACCAATTATAACTCGTAACCAGTGTTCCTCATACGACCACATCTCTTAGGTGTGGGTTGGACGGGCGAGGAACTGATGATGGTAATACATGTCACGATATCAGTAATAGTTCTTGAAATAATCTGGTTGCTCTTACCGTAGTGTGAGGCTCACATGCCTGTATTGGCAAGTGTTATGTTCGTACGTTTGTACTGGCAAGTGTTAGGCTCACATGCTAGTATTGGCAAGAGTTAGGCTCACATGCTAGTATTGGCAAGTGTTAGGCTCACATGCTAGTATTGGCAAGTGTTAGGCTCACATGCTAGTATTGGCAAGTGTTAGGCTCCCAAGCTAGTATTACAGGATCAATCGGGTTTCAAATGACACTGAACGATGCTTTTGCCCCCCAACCGCGGCTATTGGTGGTTTTCAAACCCGTTGAGAAGTTTTTCGCCGCCCTCTCCTACTGCTGAAGAATGTGTCCTTATTTCATTAATGGAGTTACTCCTTTTACCCGAGCAGATAAATTAACAACAGCCTGCTACATAGTTGCTGCTATGATAGAATTTCCTAAGGTGATGTAGCTTCATTTAAGCAATAAAAGCGTTCTGACTTGAGTAAAACCTTCAAAATGCGTCGAGCGTTCCATGTGATATTGATTCTTTTATTGGCGAGCCTGGCCGTAATAGGCAGAGTAAGCGCTTATAATAGTAGTTCTGGCGATACGTTAAAGCCTAAAAACTGCACTGGCAAAACCACTGTTGTACCCGGAGGTTCAGGTAATTCGACGGTAGAAGAAAAACAAACAGCTGGTACTAACACCGCACCTCTAACAACTGTTACCACTACACCTCCACCAGCTGCTTTAGGTGAGTTCTCAGGTCATCAGTCGCTGTCCACTGCACTAGAGTGCTGTATTGTTGGTCATAATTACAAGAAAATGCCATTAAGAATCTTGTTCAAATTGTTAGAAATAATAAAGTGGGGAGAAGTGAGTTGATACGAAATTTTCAAATTCAATTTTTGTTGTCAACAGTTATATAAAATTACTTCAGATATTTAAATTAAGTATTTCTTCGTTTTTTAGAGCCTTCTCCTTCTCGCCACGTGGACTTCGATGCAGCGTTTTTGTGGACTAGGTGAGTGTGATAGGTGAGGGGCTAGTTAGCCACTTGATGTTTCATCAAAGAGGCTAGTAGTTACTACTAGTTACAGTGGGGGGAAATAAATATTCGTACACTTGAAAAATCGTATTTTATAAGTGAACATGTTGCATTGTTTTTTGTTGCATTGAGATTTAATTTCTTTTGATAGTATTTTTGAATACTATGCGTCTCTATACATAATTTAAATCACTTTTCCTGTTAAGTTTGTGTACTTACATACATTAAAATACGATTTTTCAAGTGTACGAATATTTATTTTCCCCCCACTGTATAAACATTAGCTGTAGGCGCCACAGTTCTGAACTATAAAAACTGCGGTGCAACTCGTTCACGCGACAAAACTTTTTTACGTTTCGAGTCACCGAACAGAATCCCAGCTGACATCGTTGGCGCTCTGAGTATAAATGCATTCAAGAACAGATAAGATGGAGCAGTGCAAGAGTATACAGTTCCAATAGAAGGGCCTCCCACCTCACAACTTAGTGGATGGTTAGCAGCTATTTAGCTTGGACGTTAGTTGTGGATAGATCTGATCGAAGGCAAGTTCCCATGCTGTCCATGTGACACGTCAAGCACATTACAAGTATTGATGATAGACCATCTTCTATTCGTCAGCGCCGACACTACATACTATACTAAATGAAACGTCCGTGGTTTGCACCAGCGGTTACAACATTTATTTCACGCACAGAGGATACATGGAGGGAAAGCAGCACGAGAGAATCAAGTATAACACGTCTGCTTGTAACAGTATGAAATGAAACAACTGTAGTTTGCAGCAGCGGTTACAACATTTATTTCACATGCAGAGGATATATGGAGGGAAAGCAGTACGAGCTCATCGGGGCGGACAACGCGTCGGTGTCGCAAAGCCACTTCCTGGCGTCGGCCGACACGTACCTCATCGTGCACGGCTTCTTATCCCACGCCCTCGTGCCCTGGGTGTTGACCCTTAAAGACAGTCAGTTGTGATCGTATCTAGTACTCAGAAAATGACACATGGATTGCTGAAGTTGAATTTATATGGCATTTGCGATCATATCTCTTGATTACTGTTTGCAACTCCTATACGACTCGTGACACATCTTTAATGTTTCCCCTCATCGTTATTAAGGCTTAACCCTATAAAATTCCCCCTCTCCCTCCACTGAAGCTTGACATGCGCTCATTTCAGAAATACTGGCGCGCGGGAACAGCAACGTCATCGCCGTGCAGTGGGCGTCTGGGGACAACTTCACCGAGCTTGCCTACAATGAGGCGTCCGGTGAGTTTATCAGGCTGGCCGCAGTATTGACTACTGACATTTCTACGTTGACTTCTTGCTATTGAATGCCAAATCAAAAGTTAATTTCGTTCATTATAGTCCTTCGCTTGTTTTATTTTCATGCACCGCAATGATGGAAATATGTATTGGATTATCAAATTTCAAACGGACTGCCATCGATGCACAAAATATTTTGGACCCAACTTCTGACAATCCGTCACTCTTCTACTTCGGACAGCTGGCCGAGATAAGAGGAACCAGGCACACGTTAATAATTGCAGGCAGTTCAGTAACGAGCTTGTACAGGGTCATCAATATTTAGCGTTACAACTTTGAGTGGTTAGAACTATGAAATGAAACACAATTGTGAATGTTTGAAAATGTATTTATGTAGGCAGAGGTTCAGAGATACAATTCCCACAATTTCATTCAATATGTCCACCATCTGCATCAATAACGAGTTGTAGACGCTTAGAGAAAGCCTTACACAAGTCACGAATGACACTCTGCGGAATTTTGGCCCACTCCTTCAGCAGTTTGACCTTTAGGGCGTCCAAACTGCTATGGTGAACGGTCGAGACCTTGCTCTCAAGGTATGACCAGATTCCAAAATCCAGAGGATTCAGATCGGGTGACGTTGGGGGCCATTCATCTTTGGCAATGAAGTGGAGAACATTCTCGGACAGCCACTCCTGAGTCGATTTGGCCCCATGGGATGGTGCAGAGTCCTGCTGGAACGACCAGGGACGTTTTTTGAAGTGCTTTCGTGCCCAGGGCAACAATGCACCAACAATTCATCGTTATTAACGCTTAACCCTATAAAATTTCCCTTCCCCCCCCCCCTCACTGAAGCTTGACATGTGCTCATTTCAGAAATACTGGCGCGCGGGAACAGCAACGTCATCGCCGTGCAGTGGGCGTCTGGGGACAACTTCACCGAGCTTGCCTACAATGAGACGTCCGGTGAGTTACAAAGCGGGCCCAAGTTGCCCTCAATATTAACTACTGGCTTTGCTTTGTTGACGTCCCGTAAGTTAGGCCTATGACTCAAAATGACCGCAATATTAACTATTGACCTAACGTAACAAACATGTTTAATTACAGATACGGTTCCCGGCATTGGCGCGGCGGTGTCGCGGCTGCTGACGACGTTGCAGGCCGTGCGCGGTCTCGACTACACGCGCCTACACGCCATCGGCCTCAACTTGGGCGCCCACATCGCCGGCTTCGCCGCCAAGAACAGCCCAAGTCCCTTCGGCCGCATCACAGGTCATTGCCTCATTTTCTGCATCGTGTTCGGTGCTAATGTAATCTTAACTTAAAATGCAATTTTTTTTTCTTGTCAAAATTGGTTGATAGATCTTTCTACAAGGATAATATAAGTATAATTTCCTAAGTTGAACAACGCAATCAAGATGTTTGAAGGCAGATTTTTGTCTCCTCAGGCCTGGACCCTGCCAACAAAAGATATTTGCACACTTCGCCTAAAGAGCGCCTCGACAAAAGCGATGCTCTCTATGTCGACATTATGCACACCAACAGCTGCACCAACTTTAACAAGTGGTATGTGAGTATCATGCCCTAATTTGGTCGCCGTTCAGCACACCAACAACTGGGATGTGAGGTCCATAACTTTCAAAATGGCATAACTGCCCGGTTATGCTCATGTCAGAACTAGTCAAGCAGGAGCGGCCCTAGCGATTAACGTCCTGGCTCGACCAACTCCACCCAAGAACCAGAGATAATGTGTACTTTCTATTAGAAATAATATGTATTCGGTAATGCGTAGTTTGCGTCTCGTAGACGAACGCGCGTCTTATTTTCCCTTAAAACTCTAATAAAAGAGATAACAAAGCTAAGGGAATGAGATTTGCTGGTGAACATTTAACCCTTTTTATACGGATACATTAACCTTCGTCACAGCTATTCGTACATACGGCCTGAACGAAAGGTACCGTCGGCACACACAGGGTTAGAGGCACGTTGAACGATCAACTGCATCATTTATTAGCATCACATGACCGCTACGTTGTGCGCTGATTAGCATCACATGCGTGGCAGTTGTGCTTGCTACTGCGTCTGGAGATCATACCAATGATGGTATCTTAGTTTCGCATTTAATGAAAAGTCAGACGGATATGATTTGTTGTGCCATTGTAAAAAAATACACATTAGTGTTCGCCAATGCGACGTACGAAATGCATTTTGTTTCATCAGTTGTTGCTCGGATTCTAATATTTTTTTTATTTACGCCAGGACTGCTTTGGAATTCGCATGAGCATCGGCCACACAGACTTTTGGCCTAACAGAGGCGACTTCCAGCCGGCGTGCAAGAAGAAGAAGGGAGCCCGGTCTAAAAAAGGTGTGCAACTTTTAAACCACATCATGTGTATGTATTCTGATCACACATTCGTGCATTTCTACACAACGTCATAATTTTTTTCAAATGTGCTACCAGGAGGTTGTCAGCGAGGCGAGAACCTGGTACAGTTGCGTGTTGCACTTCAAAGATATTTGTTCAGATCTTCATAGGCTGTTTATTGAATAAAACCTGTTCGGTAAAACGATGAATGTGTAGGCATTATTCTAGTAGTAGGCTGTGTATCCACAGTGATTTATATTTTTTAAATCATCGTATATTCCATACCGCTCTTATCATCATGCCATCTCTGCGCCACGTTCCTCTAACCACTTTCTGTTGATCTTCTCCCTCGCCAGCCCCAGGCTCGCTGAGGTGTGACCACACGATCGTGACGGAATATTTCATCGAAAGTTTTGACTACGACGCCGCAAGCACAAAGTTCTTGGCGCGCCCAGCCAAGAACTACGAAGCTTACTGTGCCGACCCCGTCATCCAGTGCGACTCCCTGCCTCAGTATATGGGCATCCTTGCCGACAGCGGGTGAGTACTGACATGTTTTCATTATAGATTTCTTTTGATGAGATGTATTCGGTTGTCTTTTGTTAGCTCATAGGCTGTGTTGACTTCACTCTGTCTACGAGTAAAGCTAATACCTGATTATTCGATTATCCCTTCGTCTGCTGATGGTAACTCTGGTTATCAGGCTCTCTGGTGCTAACTTAATATAAAACTGTTGATTTATTTACGGCCGTGTCTTGTTGTTTGTTATACCCACGTGCCGCCTGATTCACGTGTCTCGAGGGTAGCGTTGCAACTAGGTACACCTGGTTGGTACTTAAGTCTTTCGCATTGTTCTTTAAGATATTACGTCATGTTTTATCGTCTTAGAATGTTTTTTTTTTAATTGCCGTCTTTGAATTTCAATAGCGTTTCAGATAGCTTTAGTTTGCATGAGTTGAAAATACACTGATCATTTGGATATGGTTTGTCGGCTATCGAAGGCATTAGCTGCTTGTATTTCAGGAAGTGATTATTGGGATTTGGACGAAATGCTGGCCTCTATAACAGCAGATAACTAGAAAAATTCCCAAGCGGCAATTACGTTTGTTTCTTGCATTGAGAATCCTGTTTCCTCTTTGTTTCCTGAGACTACTCGCTTGTACCTGTTTTTCCTACTACATCAACTAATTTCCTTATCATCGATACAGTTAGTTCGGCATAGTTGATGCCTTTTCCGCCTCCAAATATAATATTCTAGTTCTTTTTCCGAATGTAGCCAACGATTTCCTTACCACTCGCCTGTCCCTCGAACGCCAGTGGTCTGATACTAAAAGAAACTGTAAAAAA